AGCACTGTCTCGACACAGTCTGCCTCCAGGGTTCCAGCACCCAGGCAGGCTCCCATTCTCTGCAGTCCTGGGCTCTGGAAACCTTACTTCCTCTGTTATTTCCCAGCCTTAAATATAAGAACATTTGCTGAAGTGCTAATCTTTGCATGACATTATTGTCCCCTTTTGGCTCTGTGAGTTCTTTCAACCTCTGCAGCACCAAAGCCCTGTGTTAAATTCTCTCTGTTTGAAAGACCKGAAGCGGTTTCCATCTTCCTGACTGGACCCCAGTTGACACGCCCCACATGTCTACATCCATAATGGTTAGAAGAGATACTCCCAGGACTTTCACGGATTCCTCCTCAGCATCCTGGTTGTGCTATCAAGGGCACACTTCCCCGGCTTCAATCCTACCTGATAATAACTTCTGTAGTTTACTGATCATTTTATGTGCTTTGCAAACATTACCCATAATTATCACGCCTAACAGAGGGGGCTATACAATATTTTAAAATATTAATTGACAATACTAAGGCACACAGTGATTCCAAGGAGGAAAGTCTGGATTGGAACCAAGGCCTCTCTGGCCCCTCACCAACCTCTTCCCTCTACTCTCCTGCATTCTCTTTCCTCTTATCTCTCTGTGCAAAGGCCTTTGGGGCACCTTGAGCTGTGCTTTCAGACCTCCTTTCTTGTCTCCTTGCCTCCCCTCCCTCCCTCCCTCCCTCCCTCCCTTCCTTCCTTCCTTCCTTCCTCTTAAGATGTCTACCTTTAAAAAGAGGCCTCCTACTGCCTGCCTTCAAAGGGACTGAGTTCTGACCACTTGGTTACTAAAGATGGGAGTTCTTTTCTACTGTCTCAGATCTTGCTAGGTCTAGCAAGCCCAGTAACTCAACCCTCTCCTAAGGGTCTGACTTTCACCTTGGCTTGGTCCTCTCCCCTCAGCTGGGCCTYCTCCCACTTGGAGAATCTTCYACTAYTTGCATAGCAAAGAGAGCTGACCAACTCCCCTCTGATGGGGGTGCAGCTCTTGAGAGGTAAAATGAGGGAGGATATTAGAAGCTTAACAGACATCCTGAGGACATCTGCTTTAAAGATTATTTAGGAATGAACTAGTTACCATATCAATGGCTGRAGTGCTAATACAGACATTGGATATTCCAAGACAGAGCTGCTTCTCCTCTGCACCCSCAAGGTTTGTCTGACAGTACTCATTTACACTCTCGGCTGGTTTGGGGACCTTTTTTGTTGTTGTTGTTCTGAGCTTGGAACCCAGGGCCTCATACACGCTAGGCAAGAGCTCTACCACTGAGCTATGGCCCCAGCCRTGATGAACTGTTTTGAACAATCTGTGCAAAGATAAATTTCAGTCCCAATAGGTCAGCACTTAAACACAATTTGAAAAACAAACTGAAAATGTCAAGTTGTTGGCATCCAGATACCCATTTTCTTTCTTTTAGATTTGGCTATCAAGGCAAAGGGAGAAATGGAGAAAACCAACACTGAGATTTTTTTTTTTTAAAGGAAGAACAGGTACATTTACTAAGTCTGTGCAATTTGTCAGGCCCGTGCTCGGGGCCYCAGATGCCTTATCTCATTTAATCCTCATAACAATCCCCAGTGGTGGTTTCCAGTACAGTTACTGCCTCCATGTTACATTCGAGGCAACTGAGTCTCAAACAGATTAAGAACCCTGTCCCCAGGCTTTGCTGGAGGAGGCAGGTGTCACCTGCCAGCTTACCCACGGGGCCGCACCCTTCACCAGCATGCCACCTGTCTCCCCTTACTGGCCAGTCCCCAGTTCCCGCCTGGCACGTCTCTCCTCAGCAGTTTGGCCCTGAATACACTTCAGGATAACTTCCTTCATTGTGATAAGCAGGGCCCAGGATCTCTGACAGCTGTTCCCCGCTCTTCATCATCATCTGAAACAATCAGTAAGCATTAGAGAGTACTTTTCCCTTTACAAAGGTGATAATTAGATAACAAGCTGAGATTAAAGTAATTACAGTTAGACAGCTGGCGAGGCAGCACAGTCATGTTGAAATATTGTTGGTACTTCAGCATCTGGTTCTAATAACAGCATAGGCTAAAGGATTTTACATTAATTACAGAACATAATTTAATATAAACATATTTAATTACAATTGATGAGCGATAAACTCTTCAAGAATGACTTAACCCCTTCCKCGTGTCAAAGTGATGGGAACTCTGGGCAGCCTGTGGCCTGTTCCGCTGTCTTGCTCCCCCTCCCCAGCCKGCCCTCCACCACTCCCTGGCCCACTCTCCTGGAGAAACCCCCTCAAGGAAGGAAGGTTCTAGGCCAGGAGGTTTCAGGGGAGCCCATGGGTGTTTGGCTCAGGAACAGCCCGGACCACCCTGGGAAACCAGGAGAAAAGGAGAGCGACGYGCAGCTCAGGCTGGGATGCGGCAATGTGGCCTCAGCCGCTGGTCTCCTCCTGGGCCAAGAAGTCAAGTTCACCCTCCTGGCCTGATCGTCCCCGCATTCTCTCTCCTCCATGGCTTTGCTTCTGACAGTCCATGAGTGGCCTACTAAACAATTCTCAGATCTCTCAGAAAACATTTAAAGGTAATCCCTCTTCTTTACAAAATCATGAACAATGAGTCCCTGGGCACAATATTCAGGGTATTTTCACCATTTGAAGGTCAGTATGTCCTAACATCTAGACTTCTACCTGGGAAAAAGACACTATTCAGGCAGGAATTCTCCCTTACAAGCTGCCAAAACCTCCATCTCTACCTCCCAAACTGGCAGAAGTAGACCTTGGTAAAAAGCAGTTGATAACAAATTCGGATCCCACAGAAATCATCTCCACTGGATAAAGGACTCAACCATTCTCAACATGGTCTTGGCAGACATCCCTTCTTAAATGAGAGACGTTCCAAAGCCACAAAAAACAGACACCAGCTGTATTGAGGTGACTTAAGAGTTCACCCAAAGAAGGTCCAAGGCTGACTGATCCTAAGAAAGATGGCATAGCCCCGTATGCATTAGAAAATTCACCATCAAATTTCCCCACTTGACAAATGATGGGTAATTAAACTTCAAATACTGTTTTTACCTTTTGCTGTGGATTTTTAAAGTACAAAGCACACATTCTCCTCAAAGCCAAAATGAGTGGCTGCAAATGACAGTTTATGATTCACAAGTAAGCAAGCGTAATCTGCTTTCTAGAGRAATTACTGACAGATGCACAGAAAGGGAAATAAGTGTGCAGACTCAGGACCAAGCCGCTCGCAAGAAACAGGYGCTCTCCAAGTGGAGGTTGTACCACACATGCCCTTTTGAAACAAAGAAGCAGGGTTGGCTGAGGATGTAGCTCAGGGAYAGAGAGCTTGYYTAGCAAGTGTGAGGCCCTGGGTTCCATCCCCAGCACYGGAAAATAAGAAGAAGAAATTGAAGCAAATCTGCAATCTGAGTGAGAACTCTAAGGTATTTTTGATAGATTAAGCACTCCTTTGGAAGTGAGGGAGGGACCAGAATGAAAAGACTCCAAAAGATGTCCACCACAAAACTTGCACACAAAATGTTCACAGTGGTATTATTTATAACAGCCAAAAGAGCTAACAATTCAACTGTCTTATCAACCGATTAATAAACAAATGGTGGCATATCCACACAATGGAATAGTATTTAGCCATATAAAGRCACAGAGTCCTAATAGATGCCCTAACATAGATGAACCTTGAAAACATCATGCTAAGTAAAAGAAATSAAGCACCAAAGACTACAGACTGTGTGATTTCACTTATAGGGAATGTCTGTAATAGGTGAATCCATAGAATTAGAAAGTAGATTAGTGGTTGTCCATGGGTGGGAAGAGAGGGAAATTGAGAGTGAGGGCTAACAGATATGGGACTACCTGTTGGGGGTGATGAAAATATTCTGGAACTTGATGGTGGTGGTGATTGCATAACATTGGGAATTTACTAAAAGCCATTGAATTGCATACTTTAAAATGATTAAAATATTAAATTAAATTTTATCTCAAAAAATGTTTTTTTAAAAGCTACCAATCTAGGTAATAAGTTTAATCCCACCAGGGAATCCCAGGAACCTGTGTAAAGTATACACCACAGGGTGATCTCACTCAGAGGGGAGGAAGCTGGGAATTTACACACTGACTCCCACCAGCCAGTAGTTGAAGGCTGATTCTGGAAAGGYACCCATTCCTCGGCATTTCTGGTCTGGCTGCAAAGGGTCTCCGGTGGCCAGAGAAAGTCCTTAGGCAAGAGAATGTCGATACTGGCAATTGCCAGCCAGATCCAAGACTGTAACTGACAGTCTCTGTTACCCTCTCACAGACTTGCTTTGAGATKAGTATAAAACGCTTCCCAGAGCTGGACTTAATTCTTGATAAATGTGAGTTATTTTTAGGGATGACTCCACATGGGCTCAACAACTTGATCAAAACCACACAGCTAATGCAAGGTTGGTTATTTACATAAGTCTCTCTATAGGACACAGTCTTCCATATACAGAATTAAATTAACCAAATACATAACGCACCAGTCTTGCAAACACACCCATCAGAAGGCAATTGTTATCGGCATTCAGAAGATACAATGTGCATCTTCACATCTTGCCTCCCTCTCCCCGTTAGATGTCCTCAGTGGAGGAAGCAGCTGTTTTTCTCACAAAAAGGCCTTGAGGGTTGATGTGAATATCTGCTCAAGTTGCCCAGCATGTGAACATGATGTGGTTTATCGTGTCAGTTCTTTGAGACTCAAAGCCTGTGCATTTGCTGACAATTTAGTGCAAAGAACCAAGATACACGAACACCTGAGACTTCAGGGGACGCACGGCAACACAGTCCTCACTCACATGTAGGTCCTTCTGTTCTCCCCTGGAATAACCTGAGCTACAGGACTCTCTACAAAAAAAGTTGGGCATGCAGAGAAAAATGGAGGGATATCGTCCCAGGATGCTCTACTTGAATTCCCAGCCAAGGATGCCTTAGAGGGTYAAAGGGAGGCTCTGGAGCTGCAGAACCCATGCTTACCTGATCAGGTAATGGTTGATAATGGTGTCGAAGTAGCTGTAGTACACGRCATTGTTCACGTGCCCATACTGGTCATTGTCCTGCCATCTTGTCTGGATGGGCAAGAAGTACCTGTAGGCCTTGTGCTGCCGATGACAATCCTCCTGTCTCTGGATCTTGGATGAAGGAGCCAAGGAACAGGCATTCCTAGGAAGCATCCTGGAGACCCAAGAAGCCATAGTGCCTGCTGCCTCGGAGAGGACCTTCAGTGAGAAAGCAACAGTGGATAAGAAGGTTTTTTAGAGAACTGGATTTTAGTTTTGCAAAAGCAACTACAATGAATGTTGGCCACAGGTTCCAAAAGAACATTAGRAAATAAATCTGCCTTATAATCCAGGTCCTTGTCACAAACTCTATGAACCTTTTGAAAGAACTCCTTACTAAAAAGATTTCTGGCACACACTGCCAGAAGCAGGTGAAGCCTCTGTCTGAATTTTACCAGTATGTTTATATGGAGGTGTTTGATTCCATGAAGTATTTTCAGTGAGCTGAAATCTACAAGCCCCTAAGAGTAGAAAAACATAGCTCAGGGCATCAGTGTAAGATGTTTACCAGAAGACATTATCAAGAGGGCCTGCCAACAGCTAAGTTTTTTCCAARAGTATATTAATTTTTTAACAAATCATGCTCCATAGAAAGACTTTTAAATATGCATCTACAAAGGGAAGAAAATCCAACAACCCCCAAATACTCGGTATTAACAATTCCATGTATATTATTCTAGTTTTATATACATAAGTGTACATTTTTAATAGGATCCTGATGGGATCAGACTGTATTTGTTGTTTTATAATCTCCTGTTCTAAATAGTAAATCACCAATGTACTTAGATATTCTCCATCTTCTGTAGCATTAAATTCCATTATATTCATTGCATTGATGCACCAGAATTTCTCAAATCCCCTATTGTTTCATATTTAGGACTTTTATTCCCATTTTGGTCACGGGAAAGATCTTTACCAATAAATCTTCACGTGTATTCATGATTATTTTCTTAGGATAAATTCCGAGATGCAAAATTGCTGGGTCAAAGGGCAAATGAAGTGTTAAGGCTTTTGGTATAAATTAATGCCTTCCAGAGAGGTGGTACCAATTTATCCCCACCCCAGCAGCGAATGAGCAAGCCAATTTCCCTGTCAATTGTAAAATGCTTTGTCAATTTGACTGTGTTCTCTCATTTCCATACAAATTTAATGAAATGTGCTAAGTGGAAAGATGACTGCTGCTACTAGCAATGATGGAATAACTAGTATCAGAATAACCCCTCTGTTTGAGAACAACTATGAAAKCCAGATTAAACGTAAAAGAAGAGCTGTCGGAAGGTACTGAGAAATAATGAAGGAGCAGGACTTTAGAGGCTGCATTCCTGGGGGCAGGGTGACACACGTGGCATTTGCCACTGCTGCTTCTCATTGGGGTATTTGCCAGTTGCCACATGGGGAATAAAGGCTGAAGAGAGCAGCAATTCGGATCTTGTGTGGTCTTGCTGCACTGGAAGAGGAGACAATTTTGAAAGGCCTATACCATCCTAGAGAAAAGCGCGTTAGAGAAGCGAGCCTGATACTGCATGCAGCTCCCTCTCAGGCACCTGAAGCTCTTCAGCAGCTCTGAACAAGACAGAGAAAGCAGCAAGCAACCGTCACGAAACTGAAAGTCTATGGAGAAAATAGGAGTCTCATAGTGCTGAGGATACAGAAATCAGCTTGCAGAGCTTCTGAGAAGGACAAAATCCCCAGCAAAACTAGCAATAAAGTGAAAAGACATCCCTCCAAACAGGAAAAATATTTACAAATCACATAAGTGATAGAAACCTAGTATTCAGAATATATAAAGAACTTTTACAACTCAACAATAAAAGGACAAATAATCCCATTAAAAATTGGGTAAATGAAACAGACATTATTATTACTGTGTGTATATATGTGAATGCATGACCAATATGATTCTGCAACCTGTATACTCAGAAAAATGAGATATTATATCCCATCTGATTCAAATGTATGATATGTCAAGGTCATTGTACTGTCATGTGTAACTAATTAAAACAAATTAAAAATAAAACTATTTAACTTAAAAAATAAAAAAAAATTTGGGTAAAGAACTATTGTGTTCGTTTTCCCCTGCTACCTGAAAAGGGCTACTTCTTCAGAGTAAGTACAAATCTCAAATTGACCTACGTTAGCTCTTTTTTTTTTTTAGKGGGAGGTTTGAACTCAGGGGCCCTTGACCACTGAGCCACATGCCCAACCTTGTTTTGTATTTTATTTAGAAACAGGGTCTCACTGAATTGTTTAGTACCTTGCTTTTACTGAGGCTGGCTTTAAACTCATGAACCTCCTGCCTCAGCCTCCTGAGCTGCTGGGATTACAGGCGTGCGCCACCATGCCTGGCACTTATATCAGCTTTGATCAAGGTTAAAGGTATCTGAACCATGCCACTTGTCATTCAGCAGAAAACCAAATTCTCTCTAGCAGAACACGATAGATAGCTCCAGAATCTCTGCAACTTTTTTATATACAGAATCTGGCATTCAACAAAAACCCACAAGGCCTACCAGGAAAGAAATACACATGACAAAAAAATCCAAAGGAATTTTAAAAAATCCAATGAAAACAGCCCCACAGACTCAGATTTTAAGATAACTATGATTAAAATGCATCAGAGATTAAGAGTAATATCCTTCCTACCACATGAAGAATTCTAAAATGGGGGGGGGGCGCGATGGATGTCAAAACCCTCACAGAAAAGTAAGCAAAAGCCACAAGCAGACAAAGCACAGAGAAAGATATTTAACAAGTTCTTTGAACATGAAAAACTGAACAACATCTTTCATAATAAGAGAAATATAAATTCTAAGTACATGGAGATACCATTTCTCAAAATTATCGGATTTGGTACACATTACACAGCTTGATAGCATCCTCTATTAATAGGGCCTTTGAAAGGGCCTTGAGGAAGGCCCTATAGATACATTGTGGGTAGGAAGGTCCCAATCTTTAAGGAGGGTAATGTGACAATGTCTACTAAAGCCATCGTGAGTTTTAGCCCTCAACTCACAATAAGAATACACCCTGAAGATGAACCACACAAAAATACCTATGACAAGATGCACCACTGTTAGTAATGGGAAAATACTGGGGGAACACATCTATAAGAGATTTGGTTGAATAAGCTGTAGAACACTCCCACARTGAATATCACACAGCAGGAAAGAGACTAAAGAAGATGTGAAAAGGAAAAATCAAAGTGCAAAAAATTATATAGTATGTTATTTTGTGTAAAAAAGAAGGRGAATTAAGATAACATAAATATATTTTCTGTACTTCTATTTACAAAATAATAACTCAGGAAGGTTGAAGCAGAAACCAATGAACCGGTATTAACAAGGTGGATAGAGGAGGAGAGGAGAGAAACACTGTTCTGAATACACCTTTTTATGTCATTTTGAGTTTTGGATCCATGTTAATGTTTTGGAAGAAGATGATGATGATGTCAAATTTATGATGAAGAGTGGAGAAAACCTAAAATGGAATATAAACAGAAACAAATGAACTTTACTGGATTTCAAATGAATCTCAATGATGGGGAAAAATAACTATTTTTGACTATACACCTTCAGTCTAAAGACACAAAGATCTGTTAACAAATTGAACAATAGTTAGAAGCTTTTTGTGTGTTTTTTTTATGTTCTGTTTTGTTTTGTTTTCAATAGTAATAGGGTTAGCAATTCTTAGTTTGCTTCTTGTGACTTGAAGCCCAGACAAGTGAGTAAATACAATGAGGTTTGAATGAACCGGGTTTCTCACCTGCAGACAGAACTTGCAAATACTGTACAGAAAAAAGCAAGACTAAAATGAATCTTCTGGTTTTAGAGAGAATTTGRGAGTATTGATATGAACTCACAGATTCAAGACAGAGATTTTGGAGATAAGATCCCCTAGTTCTGTTGAGCCTAGACCCAAAGGCACTCCAGTAGCCCTTAATGTCCAGATTTTAATTTCTAAATGCCATTCTCCACAAAAGGGAACCAAAGCTCTTTGAAGAAATGACKGTTTCAGACATTGAGGCAGAGAAAGTAGCATCCTGTCAGAAATGCTCAAAGACCATGAGGTATGCCCAAAGTTCAAGGAGCTCATGTTGTGGGCTCCCATCGGCTCCATCTGGAACAGTTGAACATCAAATTCAAAGAAAAAGACTTTCAAAGCAACAAGAGCAAGTGGAATTATCCAATGGAAACAACAGAGGACAGCACAAAAGAATGACATTTTTCAAGTACTCAAATCATCACAGAGCTAGAATTTTATGCCCAAGGAAACTATTCCTCAAAAATGAAAAGAAAGCCGTAATTTTGAGATGAGCAAAACAGAAAATTCATCCTGAGTCCACCTATAATAAGAGAAATGCTAAARGGAGCTCCTTAGGCAAGAGAAAAAAATATTCCCAATGAAAGAATAATAATGCAGAAAATAAAAGCAATGGAAAGGGTAGAGAAGTGAATAAATTTGAATTAATATTGACTATTTAAAATGGTAACAAAAATTCTTCTGTGCTTTAGAGATATAGAATTAAAATTTCCCATATCAGTAGCAGAAGAGATAGGAGAGTACATTTGGTTCCAGTGCTATAAGGTACCTGCATTTTTGGGCAAGTGATAACAATCCTAATTCAACAATGATTGCAATAAGTTAAGGATTCATGGCATAACCTCCAAGATAGTACCCTAAATAGAAAAAAAGTGCTTAAAAATCTCAACCCTAAAAAARAAATATTTGAGGTAAAAGAAAAAAATAAGGAGACCAACAAAAAACAACAGCAAGATAAAGGAATTGAGTGAAAATGGTAATAATTATATTAGTCATGATTAAATACTCCAGATAAAAGGCAAAGACTGTCAAGATGAATTTTTTTAAAAATCCAAGTACATGTTACTTATAAGAAATACATCTTAAATAGAAAGATGCAGAAAAGTTGGGAATAAAAGGGTGGAAGGCATATGTTAAAAAGAAAAGAAGGCTGGTATAGATATGCTAGTGGCAGAAAAAAATAGATCTTAAGAAATATTGTTACATTTAAAAGAAGGGCTTTGGATAAAGATAAAAGGTAATTTCAAAATGAAGATCTCATAACATATCCTCAAATACAAGAAACAAAAATTAAGAAAGCCAAAAGCACATTAGACAAACTCCCAACCACACTGTGTAGC